TGTGTGTGTGTGTGTGTGTGTGTGTGTGTGTCCTGGGCACTGCACTGTCCCTGAGCATTTTTTTTGCTCAAGGTTAGTGCTCTACCACTTGAGCCACAGCTCCTATTCTGTTTGTTTTTGGTTTTTTGGTAATTAATTGGAAGTAAGAGTCTCAGACTTTCCTGCCAAGCCTGGCTTTCAACTGTGTTCCTCAGATATCAGTGTCCTAAGTGGCTAGGATTACAAGCATGAGCCAACCAGGACCCACCATGTTTATTTTTTTAAAAAACTTTAGTTTTAGCTACTGTACAAACAATCTACAATAGGTAAACTCATGGTATCTGAAGCATGTTCAATGTTCCATGAATTATAATATACAATAGTCAGTACAAAACCATCCTTTCAATTCCTTAAAACATTTTCCTTCATACATTTAGATTTTTACTTTCAGTCATTTATTTCACATACAGATCTAATTTAATTCCGCTAGTACGAGTCCCTAAAGTTATGCAAAATACATTTTTATAGAAATTATTTGGTTTCAGTGTCCCAAAGTCATACAAAATAAAGGATGATAAAAATCAATCTTATTTCTTAACACAATTTACATAATTGTACATTATAGTACCTTCTATCCTCTTTTTAAATGCAGAATATCAGTGCAGTAAAGGAACAAACTGTGCTGTTAGTTCTTACAACATACTCACTGAACTTTACTTACCTTCTCCAAATTCATTTAAAATAACCGCTATTCTCTTACAATGCTGCTCTGTCAAAATGTAGTTCAGAAGTGTTGTCTTGCCAGCACCTATAAAATATATTAGAATATCAAGATTCAAAGGCTAAATTTAAAGGCTCAACAAGATCTTGCCGTTTTTAGGAATGTGGTATTTTCATATTTACTTAATGAAAGAGTATTTAGAGAAAAATATTAAAGCAATCTTTGATTGCTATTACTATACTTTAATTACTAAGTCAATCTTTGATAACTATGCCTTATATATACTTTATATATTTTATATTTAAAAATAATCTTTTAGGAGCTGGGAAGGTGGCTCAGTGGTAAAGCGCTTACTGCATGAGGCCCTGGGTTCGATTCCTGAGCACCACCTAAGCAAAAAGAAAAAAGCCGGAAGTGGCGCTGTGGCTCAAGTGGTAGAGCGCTAGCCTTGAGCTGAAGAGCTGAGGGACAGTGCCCAGGCCCAGAGTTCAGGCCCCACGACCGGACTCAAAAAAATAAAAATCTTTTAAATTGGATCAGTGCTTCAATTTAATATGTCTTAATAACTTTCAACAACACAAGAGCATGAAAAATTTCTAGCCGGGTGCCAGTGGCTCACACCTGTAATCGTAGCTACTCAGAAGGCTGAGATCTGAGGATTGCAGTTCAAAAGCCAGCCCAGGCAGCAAAGTCCATGAGACTCCTATCTCCAATAAACCACCAGAAAACCAGAAGTGGTGCTGGGGCTCAAGTGGTAGAGTACTAGCCTTGAGCTGAAGAGCTCAGGGACAACACCCAAGTCCAGAGTCCCAGCCCCATGTCCAACCAAAAAGAATTCATGAAGTAACAGTTTCCAAGGAATAAAGTATATAATTTATAAAATTAAAAATAGGAGCTGGGTATTTCGTGGATCATGCCTGTAAACCTAGATACTTGGGAGGCTGAGATCTGAGGTTCATGGTTCAAAGCCAGACTGGGCAGAAAAGTCCGTGAGACTCTTACCTCCAATTTAGCCTCAAAAAGCTAGAGGTAGAGCTGTGGCAAAAGTGGTAGAGCACTAGCCTTGAGCACAAAAGCTCTGAGTCAGTGCTCAGGCAGAGTTCAAGGCCCTGGACCAGCTCGAGCGCGCGCACGCACACACGCACACACACACACACACACACACACACACGAGCGCGCGCGTGCACACACACACACACACACACACACACTATGGCCAGGTGTTGGTGGCTCACACCTGTAATCATAGCAACTCAGGAACCTGAGATCTGAGTATCACAGTTTGAAGCCAACCTGGGCAGAAATGTCCTTTAGACTCTTATCTATAAGTAAGCAGCAAAAACTGGCAAGTAGAGCTATGGCTCAAGTGGTAGAATGCTAGCCTTGAGCAAAAATAGCTCAGGGACAGTGCCCAGGCTCTGAGTTCAAGCCCTTGAATTGGCAAAAGAAAAAAAGAAAAAAAAAAAAAGGAAGTCCCTGTACGTGATGATACTGTTTCTAAACTAAAAAAATTTGGTTTATTTCCCTAAATTTTACATAACAAATCTCTGATGTCAACATCCATTAACTAGATACAAATTCAGATAAGTATATGTCAACGAAATGTAGTCACAGATTGTTTTAAAGCAAACTAAAATGGATAGCATAAAATGTGGGACAGAGGAAGGAAGCATCAACAAATTCATTATTGAGAAAGATAGATCCATAAAGCTACTCTAACTTTATCCAGTAGGTGGCATGTTAAACCTAGTATGTTCATTGCAATTAGAAGAAAAATATTTATCTTTGAGGCAAACAGCGAAGGTCAAAAGGGAGAAAAGAAAATCTCAAGTGCATAATAGTATAGTTCAATGATATGGACATATCATTATTCTTCTAGTGGTGGTTATTTGGGCTGTTACCAGTGTTTTACTATTACAGATAGTGCTACTAAATTTTACACATAGCTTGTACTTGCCTGCTGAAATGCATTTGTGAGATTTCTAGGGTATAACAGAAGAGATCTATGGGGTATCAAGGTATTAATACCTTCAACATTTTAGGTAATTTTCCTTTCAAAGTTTGAAGAGTTGACATCTTTTGAGTGCTTTGGGAAGCTTCAAGCTACAAACATGAGTAAAATGGGACTGATTTAAGTCAAAAGAATGAAGTTCTTAAAATCAGCCGAAGTGTGAGAGGCCTTGAACATGACTGATATGCAGAGAAGAGGCAGTTTAAAAGCTGAAAGAAAGCCAAGAATGTAAGAAAACTAGTAGAAGTACTAGAACTTAATCATCAACCACATTAGGATTTAAAAAAAAAGATTAAGAAACAGTTCACATTCATTCAAAAGTACATACTATAGATCAGATTTATGCTGTGTCTTGATGAAAAGTGAACAAGGGAAAGACAAGCTTCTATGGAGCTTACAAATATTTAAGAGTAGCAGGTGGTGGAGAATTTAGATAAATAAGGAAGAGATTATGTCATAGGACAACCAGAGATATACAAAGTGCTAGAGTAAACCTAAGAGCCAGCTGGTTGGTTGGTTTGTTGTGGAGCTTGAACTCAGGGATGAGGCGCTGTCCCTGAGCTTTTTTACTCAAAGCTAGAACTCTACCACTTTAAGCCATAGCACCTCTTCTGGTTTTTGGTAGTTGACTGGAGATGGAAAGTTTCACATACTTTCCTGCCAGACTGGATATGAAAGGTGATCCTCAGATGTCAGTATCCTGAGTAGCTAGGATTACAGGCACAAACCACCAGTGCCCAGCTTTTGATTTTGAGATAGGGTCTCACTAACTTTACCCAAGATGGACTGAACTCAAGATCCTCCTGGTTCTACTACCTCCCAAGTAAATAAGATTCCAGAAATCCACAACATGATCAAAACTTGCTTAATTTTAATATTAGTTCAATGTGCTCAGATTATGGTTTGGGAGGCATGAGAAATTGACAAAAAGCCATGCTAAATGCTCCTGCTCCATACAATTCAAGTTAAGATATTTCACTGGGGGGTAGGGGACAGGGACAAGAGGGAAAAACTGGGAGAAAGCAAGGGAAGAGGTAACACTGTTCAAAAAAAAAATGCACTCATTTCCTGACGTACTTAACTGTAACACCTCAGTACATCACCTTTACAACAATAAAAAAAAATTTCCATTTTTGTCCAAGTGGAAGCCACTAGAGGATGAGACACAGACTAACATTTATAAAACTGATTGGTGCTAACATACAGAGTGGCTAAATGACTCAAGATTATAGTAGGAGGAAATACTGAGTATTTCAGGACATTGGGATCACAGATGTAGAAGGATTTGAGAAGACAGTAATGTATAAAGTGTTGAATGTATTGACGTGTCTGAAGGACATCAAAATAGAAGCTATAGGGCTGTGAAGCTAAAGATTGGATGGGCAGAAGGAAAAGCTAGAGGAGGTAAAAAAAAATCAGAAGAAAAATTTAATAGAAGCCCATGGAATGGTGTTTCCAATGTTTCAAAGGGATAAAATCCATAGGAGGTTGCTGGCTTTAGTTATCTGCCAATTAGCTTTGTAGTCCTGTAGCCCTCAATACAGAGCTTCAGACCTTTATTTCCAAGAGTCTACTGACCAACAGGGAGTAAAGGGGGAAGGCCAAAGGCACAAGTCTGCAGTATACTTTTCTGCTCAAATTTGCTCAATTTCTCAGTACTGAATAACCTCTGAGGAAGTGGCACTGTGGCTCAAGTGGTAGAGCGCTAGCCTTAAGCTGAAGAGCTCAGGGACAGTTTCCAGGCCCAGAGGTCAAGCCCCACCACCAAAAAAAAAAGAATATCAGTAATTTCTTATTTTCATGTAAAAGGCCCTCAGGAATCCCAATCCCTGTTTGTCTCTAGCAGTATCTAGGAATAATATTCTTTTCTGTTAACTTTTTTCCATATTTCAATATAATCATGTGCATATTTAGCCCTCCTTTAACTGTAATTTTTAGAAATATTTCTCAAACGTTCCCAAGGAAAAATAAACGCATCAGCTATTCTTTAGGCCCTTGTACAACGTTCACAAACCTAAGTTTCAAATCTCTGAACATTCCTGAACCTCCTCAGTTTCAGAAAGGCTCGGAGGACATTCTCATCCTCCCCGCCCCCCTCCCCACCCCTCAATACTTTGCCAGGGAAAAAACTTTGAGATAGGAGTATATATTGCTCAGAAAAAGCTTGAAGAGTTTAGGCCCTGGGAAAGTGAACTCTACGGAGGAATGTGTTCCACTCCCCCGGCCCCCCCCCGCTCCCCAGCCCCAAATGTCAGGTTCTAGTGAGAGATGTCCCCACAATCGTCAGGCTAGGACGTCCTTGAATGGCAATAGACTTTTTTTACAGGTGTTTTCTGACTCGTGTTACGGCTGCAGCTCAGACAGGTGACTGGTAATTATTTCCATCTCTGAGAAAAATCACCTTCCAAAGGGTAAAATGACTTGTTAGAATTCACACGATCATGGGGGCGGGGAGGGAGAATCTAGGCTCCACAATTCGAGGTAACTCTTCATCTCATGTGAGAAATGGAGGAGACGCGCTCTGTCTGGGTCAGGGGGCCCAGGAGCCAACACAGAAGGGACTCCAGCCCCCCCCCCGCCCGGCCCCGCACCCCAAACCCCAGGGCCTACGACGGTGTCCGCCCGGGATGAATTACCCAAATACCCGGTGATGATCGTCACCGGAATCTTAACGCCAAGGCCAGGCTTCTCCTCCGCCTCGGTTGTCTTCGCCTCAATGGGGACCAATTCAGGACAATCCTCCGCATACTCTTCTTCCTCCTCTCCCACCGTGACGTTACCCGGTAACATCCCGGCCCGCAGCCACACGGCGCGCACGCCGCCCGAGCGGGAGGAGGACCAAATCACCCAACTCCGGCTCCGGACGTCCAGCGCGCCGCGCCAGGCCGCGGTGCGGCGTCATCACGCCGCGACGAGAAGCCCCCTCTCCGTCCCGCCCCCGTTACCTGGGCTCTTAGCAGAGGATCCGCCCTCCCTTAGCCACACCCCTAGGAGGAAGATGAACACGCCCCCACGTGAGTAGACACGCCCCCTGGGGCGTGGTCGCTGGGCCTTGCCCCTCCAAGGCTGTCCCCACAGGCTCTAGCAGCCTTAGTAGCTTGTCCAACTTGGGGCAACTTGATTTAAACAGTTGCCACGACACATAGACTTTAACACCTTGATATTTTTTTTACAATCTGACTTAAATTATTTTAATGCATAGGAGAAAGAACGTAAGAGTATGATATTAGAATGCTGATGATAGTTTTTCTACCTTATGGATAATTTTTTCCTCTTTATGTGTTTTATAAATGCAATTTTTTAACAGTGTGCATGAATTAGTTTGATCTAACTTATTTCTTTGGACATCAAGTAATATGATTTCACTGACCATCTATGCCGGATCGTGTTACTGTCTTATCACTAACGCACAGGAAGCCCACATTTATATTTATGAGGAGCCCCATTGACCTCATCCCTAACTCAAGAGCATTATGTGCCTCTCCTGTATTTCCGCATAAAATTGATTCCCCTAAGTTACTAACTGTAATCATGAATTGGTTTGGTATTTCCCTATCACACCTCTTTCTTCTCCTCCTCCTCCTTCTCCCTCTCTTTCTCCTTCTCCTCCTCTTCATGGCCCTTCTCCTCCTCTTCCTCTTCCCCTTCCATTGAGACAAGCTCTTGTTCTGTAGCTGATGTTCCTCCTGTCTCAGCCTTCCTCATGCTGAGATTACATATGTATCACTATGCTTCAAACAGGTCTTGCTTTTATAAACTGAACAGGTATAAATACTTTTCTTGGTGTATGTGTGATCAGGTTCTCCTTTGAGGTCTCTGTGAGAGTAGAATTGCTGAGGCTCATATAATGCAAATCTTACAGTTTTCAAGAACAGTCACAATTATTTTTTTCAAACTGTACAATTTCAAACATTTCCTCTTAGTATATAATATCCTATTGATTTAAATGTTAATATTAGCAGCTGTTAACTTTTTAAGCAATAAAGTAATACTACATTATGGTCTTCATTTGCATTTCCTCAATTATGAACAAGGTTGAGTACCTCTTTGTACTGGTGACATTTAATTCTTAGAACAGCTCTAAGAAGTATTATTATTCTACTTTTCCACATAAAGCACAGAGAGGTTAAATTATTGGGTCCAGATAGATCATGCAACCTATCTAATGCAAATACTGTATTGTTTACAACTGCCAATTGAATAGTGGTTGATATCTTCCTACCTTCTCTAAATTTCCACATGAAGTATTCTATTCATTCCATCTGTCCTACCGGTGTGAATATATGTCTTGTAACTATTCCTTGGCATAACACACCTATGTTAGGACCCGAAGTATAAATTTACAAATAAATTTATTGTTATAGTCACATATGCATTTGGCCTGAAAAGTCAGGAGGGGAAAGCTCTACCAGCTTGTGACAACATAATCATAATCTACCTAAGGAAAACTAAGGTCAATACATGGTGCCTGAGGATCCAGGTCACTTTACTATAGGAGAAAAACTGGATGGAAACCCTAAAATAAGCAGCCTAAAGTCCTCAGAAATTCCATGAAATAGTGGATCTTGTGGAGTAACTGCATTGCACCCACTCATTGCATTGTTCACAAGAGACCCTTTTATACTGCTGCTGACTGAACAGAAGTGATTACAGACCCGACAACCTCCTTCACGTCATTTTCAAGTAAATTCTTGTAGATTCCATTACATGGCTCAGCCCAAAGTGCTAAACTAAAATGTCTTACATAATGCTGAATGAAGAAAGCATTCACAAAGACCATGTACTATATGATTCTATGTATATAAAATGTCTAGAATAAGAAAATCTGTAGACAAAAAAACTGGCTAGTGGCCGTCAGTGGTTGGGGGTTCGGGAGTGACTGCTAATGTGTACCATGATGGTTCAGTGGAGACAGTAATGAGAATATTCTAAAACTGACTACATTAAATTTAGTGAATATACTAAAAATCATCAGATTGTACACATTCAATTGGTATGAATTTTATCTCAATAAAACTTTTTTAAGTTAAAGGCTCATCTGTGTATTCAAATATTAAGAATATTAAGATGCCTGTGCTTTGTACTGATTTGCTGGAGAAATCTAAAAAAAAAAAAAGATAAAGTCAGATAGCAACTATTTAAAGCTTTACAGGCCAAAAAGCAGATTTGAGGCCACTGTATCAGTCAATAATAAGAGAGAGGAAGTTTCTACAAAGTTTTTAATTTGAGAGGTTTGTAGTGTAGCTCAGTGTTAGAGCACTCACCTAACATATGCAAGGTCCTGGATTCAGTCTAAGAACTACAAACTAATAAATTTAAAATACAAGTTTAAATTTTAAATTTCACCTATCTTTACATATCAGGAAATGATTTGTCAGCCAGGTGCTGATGGCTCATACCTGTAATTCTAACAACTGGAGGCTGAGAACTAAGGATCTCAGTGTGAAGTCAGTTGAGCACTCAAGCAGAACAGTCTGTGAGATTCTTATCTCCAATTAAGCACCAAAAAAATCTGAAGTGGTTCTGCTACTCAAGTATTAGAGTGCTAGCCTTGAGCACAAAAGCTCAGGGACAACCCCCAGACCCTAGACCAGTGTGTGCGCGCACACACACACACACACACACACACACACACACACACAGATAGTCAAATTTTTTGTCTATTGGAAATGTAAAAACGATTCTTAGCTTACTAAAAAAAAAAAAAGGTAGCAGACCATAGTTTCTATAGTTTGCCAACTCCTGGTGTAAGCTAATGTGATGTTTACTTTCTTTTTTTCTTTTCTTTGTTGGTTATGGGGTTTGAACACTGGGCCTGGCCACTGTCCCTCAGCTCTTCAACTCAAGGCTAGTGCTCTACTACGTGAGCCACAGCATCACTTCCAGTTTTCTGGTGGTTTATTGGAAATCAGAGTCTTAAAGACTTTCCTGCTGGGACTGGCTTTGAACCATGATCCTCAGATCTCAGCCTCCTGAGTAGCTAGGATTACAGGCGTGACCTATCTGCACCTTGTTAAAGTGATGTGTTTTTAAATGAGCTAAAAAAAAACAGATTGCAAACGTGGATTCTCATTATCAGTTTGTAAAGTATTTACCAGTAAAGCAATTCTTTGCCCTAAAGTTGTAGACACTATAATTTCCATCACAGAGGAAGGTCTGAAGCTCTAAAGTTTAAACTAGACTTCTGAGTGTACTGGGCCTGGGAGAGACCTGTATTAACCATCACTTGCATTGTAGTGAGAACCACGCAGGGCAGTAAGCTCTCAAGTCATCTAGATTCCTATTAACTCAGCCCTGTGACCATAATCTGCCCTCTGTCCTTGGGCATTATTTCTTCCTTTTCTTTGTTGAATGTTAGTTACTGGGAGAAAGAGTAAGGACGAGAGCTTTATCTAACTCAGAGAAAAGCCAAAATGAATGCTAACTTGGTTTTGTTTTCTTCTCTCGCTTTTGCAACTTCCTACAAAGGCAAAAAAAAAGCATCAGTGGTCAGCAACAGCTACAGGCTTAGAGAAAGAAAAAGGAAACTGAGGGTTTCTAAATTAACCCAGTTCCTCTTGTCTAGCTGGGGCAAAGAAATAAAGTACTTTTTAAACACCAGTGTTCATATACACTTATGCATATACTGAATGCATATACACTTAGGGGAAAGTATATACACTTATACACTTATCTGAAAGTTCTGAAGTGAATGGCTTTTATTCTTATGACTGTTTTGGTTAAGATGGACTAGCAATATTGTACTCCTGCATTAAGATATACAATCTCCTTAAGAATATAAAATTAAACTTTCTAGATTAGAGGTGAGGCTAAAGTGGTAGAGTACTTCCCTAACTACCATGAAGCCCTGAGTACAGCCTCCAGTTCAATAGTAATAATAATAATAATCTTTCTCCATAACATTGGCAGATAAAATAAATACATTTCCAAGATTTACAGTAGTATTGTTCAAGTCTACTGCCTTTTTTCTATTTTGTTGGGTGGTATTGGGGTATCGAACTCAGGACCTTACTTGGTAGGCAGGTACTCTATCACTTGAGCCATATCCCCTTCCCTGAATCTATTATCTTGTGATGATTAAACCATGCTAACAATATGGCTTTGTTTATTATAATCCAGCCACTTCTTCCAGTCAGCTTCTCACCAAAAAAAAAATTTAAGGTGTGGAGCGTCTCAAGTGATAAAGCACTTGCCTAACAAGAGCAATACCTTGAGTTTTCAACCCTAGTACCTCCAAAAAAGAAATGAAAAGACTATTGAAATCCCATAGGCTGATGAAGTCAAGTGGTACATTCTTGTCTTTAAAATATGCTGTGAAGCAAGGAATAGGGGTTGAGCAAACCAAAAAATTATGATGCAGTGAATTATGTTGTAATTCTTTTTTTTTTTTTTTGGTCAGTTGTAGGGCTTGAACTCTGGGCCTGGGCGCTGTCACTCAGCTCTTTAACTGAAGGTGAGCACTCTATCACTTGAGCCACAGAGCCACTTCCAGGTTTTCTGGTGGTTAATTAAGAGTGTCATGGACTTTCCTGCTCAGGCTGACTTTGAACCATGATCCTCAGATCTCAGCCTCCTGAGTAGCTAGGATTACAGGGGTGAGCCACCTGTGCCTGGCATATTGTAATTCTTTAGGAGCTAAATAGTATTCTGTTGTGGAGAGAACATTTAAACTGACATTTGTGGCTTTAAGTTTTACTTTCTAATTTTTATAGGCTTAGAGAAGTATGCTCCAAAATCCACAAGCAGCCACTTATGATTTTGTAAATTAAAAAATGAAAAAAATGAGCAAACCATCTCTATTCTTTCTTCCTCTATCTCCCAAATATTCCTGAAAGAATGTATACTAAGGGCTAGAGACATGGCTCAGAGGTATTGCACCAGCCTGTCAAGC